AGTGGGGCAGTTGCCGATATGCATGATAATGTAAATGTTGCAGCATCCAATGAATGAGACATGACAATGGGCATGGATGACGATTATATACAGGATGAAGATGAGGCACATGATGATGAAACAGATGGGACAATAGAAAACAATTGGCAAAAACCAGCCATCCAGGAATGTGAAGGGGCGCAACATGATGCGGTGCCTGATGAATAGGAAGATTTAATGAGATTGGCTTGGGAGGAAGTCCAAGCATTGAGGCATAGGAGTTACTCAACAAGGGAGAGACGAAGTCGTAGCGGTCACCGTAACCTGGTTATTCATGATGATGACAATATTGAAGATGCTGAGGGCCATAACACATAACAGGGTGTGGGTAACACATAACAGGGTGGAGGTAACACACAACAGGGTGTCGGAGAGCATGAAGGTTTGACGAGTCTAGGAGACTTTGGCCAAGGGGATACTACAAGAAATATTCCTGACTGGCGAGGGGGTACAATTGCGGCATTACAGACTCCACCAAGCCTTACTCAGATTTTTTGCCCCGTAAATCCTGATAGTGAAACACAACAATATCATGATCCCTCTCGCTGCTCTCATTACTACTAGCATTGTTAGTTGGACTTTGTAACTTCATCAATTGAATTAATGTCAAATTCTAAATTGTCTTGCATGTCTTTATAATATTCAAATATTAATTTATATAAAAAGTTGTTTCAATTTTTTTTTTAAGATAAATATATGTAATATAATAGTATACACTTAATCTAAGTTTTTCTATTTTTTTTCAAATTTTTGTTAATTTTTTGGACGTTTTTTACTTTTTTTAAAAAAAAGAACTACTTGACCAGTTAAAACAGTTAACCGTCCTAGTTAGTCCGGTTCCGGTTCAAACCTCTCCCAACCTCAAAACCGGTTAATTGTTTTGGTTCGATTTTACGAACATTAGTTGAAACCTCTCTTAACAAGAGCAAAGGTGATCTCATGATACCTTAACGCGACCAAGATGGAATCCATGACTCCACTTAGATGCCATGGCATAATGTCCCGTTGAGAGCACCATTTAATGGCGTTAGCCGAATATCCTTCAATAATCACCTTAGAGTGATTCTCGGATAACCGATCTACTCCTATTTTAAACTCCCATAGCTCCACCTCATTGATTTCACCGGAATGTAATCTGCCATGGTAGGACCATAAAGTTGCCAAGTTATCGTGCAGTAGCCACCATAACCAATAACATTGCCTTGGATACTCCCATTAAAATTTAACTTAAACCAACCCAAAAGGGGCTTTAACCAAGAGTAATTGAGATGAGTACGAGGCTTTTTCAAGAAGATTATCTCTCCAAAATGTGGGAATAGATGGTCCTTAAGGAAAGAATGTACCGGGAAACAGCAAAAGCCCACATAATGGACAATTGTCGGATACAGTTGATAAGAGAAACCAAGTCCCTAGATCGTCCCTCAAAAGTCCACTGATTTCTTTCTTTCCAGAGATTCCAGAGAGAAGCAGCAATACCCGGAGACGAAAAGAGAGGAGTCCAAATCTATTGCATCAAGTCAGAAATAATCTCTGGCCAAGAAGGCTGCCAGCAAGAGATTGAACTCATCCAATGGCAAAGGCTTAATGCAAAAGGACATTGCAAGAAAAGATGGTCGATGGTCTCTTCATCATTTTTACAAAATAAACATACGCTTGTCAGACATAATCCCAATCGCCTCAATTTGATCAATTTAGGACATCATCAAGCGATTCTCTACATAAAAACTGTCAAATATCATTTTTTCACCGAATCCGGGACGATCTGGACGATAACCGATTCGGATCGCCTGATTCTAGATCGATGTGTCCGAGTTTTGATCATTTTATGATGTCATCAAGCGATTCTCTACATAAAAAAAGCCAAATCCCATTTTTTCGTTGGATTCAGGATGGTTTGGACGATACTCATTTTGCATCGCCCGATTCCATATCAATTTGTCAAAGTTTTGATTGATTTATGATGTCATCAAGTGATTCTTTAAATAAAAATGGCCAAATCATGTTTTTTCGCTGAATCCATGACATTCTAGACAATACCTGATTCAGATCACGTGATTCCACGTTGATGTGTCTGAGTTTTGATCAATTTATGACATCATCAAGCGAATCTCTACATAAAAACGGCCTAATCTCCTTTTTTCGCCGGGTTCGAGACAGTCTGGACCGGTGTTTAAAAAATCATCGATCCGATCCGGATTGGATATCAGTGACATCGTTTCGGTTTTGTCAAAGAATTAACTTAGCCTTCTGAAAATTGTCGATGTGGGACTAATTTTTGTGTCTCTTTTGAGTGGGCCAGCCAACCACCTTAGCATCCAGCGTCTGCGCTTTTGGTGCCATTTAAAGCATGCTTTTGAAGCATGCGTGCCATAATAAAATTGCATGTGTATCAATTAAATGAGCATGCTTTTAAAGCATGCCATATTAAATGAGCATGTCCTCTAATTTATGAATTTTAGTGTGGCATATTAATGAGCACGTCATGTTAACAAATTAACATGTTGAGCCTCATCAACATATTTTTTTAATTAAATAAATTAATTAGCCTGTCAAAGTAAAAAACAGCCATGCAAAGTTTTTTACTATTTATTAGTAAAATGGTTTTTTCGATAGATTTTATTACAATATTTTATTTTATTTTTATTTTTATTTGTAGCTATTGTGCATACTGCTGATATGATTTCTTTTATTTTTTGAATTTTGACATCTTTATTTTTCATTTTTTTGGGTAAAGTTTTTTTGAATTTTTTTAATATCATAACATTAGAATTTATTGGTGGTTTTAATTTTAATTTTAATCATATGATATGGAAGCATTTTTTTTTAATCACGTTTACTATAATATTATGATTAATAATTATATATTGATAACCAAATCTTGTATTTTATTTATTTATTTATTTACATTATAAATTATGCAATGTATTATTTTTCTTATTGTTGTAAATAAGATTTTTTAAAATTTGATGATATTATAAGACATTTTAGATATGTTCTTATTTATATAGTAAAATAATTATAAAATATAAACAAGAATTTCAATTTCATTACATAATATTTTTAATATCATAACATTGTGAAGTATATTCAATTGATTCTCAATTTATAATTATCATGTAAATATGACTTGTATTGTTCAACTTTATTGTCAATTATTTAATGCAAATACATATTGTAAAATTTTAGGGTTCTTTGACAAATTAATTTTAAAATAATTTGTTGATTAAAACTGTGAATTAATCTTAAGTGCCCACTAATTTAGATGATTTGTTCCTAGATCGAATTAATGAATTGTCACGCGAATTCAATCAATGGCACAAGCGTGACCAAGATGAAGAACAACATTGTCTTTTGTTTTGATATTAAGTCGTATTTTACGAATTATATGCTTTCTTGTAGTCCATATATGATTATATACTCCATCCATGATAATTCTATGCTTCTCTTTTTGTGTGATGTAAATTTAATGGTTAACATCTCAATATTAGCATATTGATGTAAAAAAAATGAAAGTTATTAATGTAGTACCTCGATCCAAAACACCGATTCTCCGCTCCATATGAGTTTTTGAGGTACCCGATCCGTGGCACCGATCCGTTTTTTAAACCACTGGTCTAGACGATACCCAATTTGAATCGCCCGAATCCAGATCGATGCACTAAATTTTTAAGCACTGGTTTCCACTCTACCATCTCGTATTGGATTTTTAGACTAAAGTAAGATTTTTATACTTGTCTACACACTGCTAGATCTGAATCCACTTAATATGGGATTGGATATGCTCCTGCTTCCGGCAGAAATGCTAACACTTGCGTTCGGTTTCCATGTAACAAGTACCTAAAACCATTGTAAGACTCAAGTCTAAATGAAAATTGCAATGGCATTAGTAGAGAACTTTCTCAAGATGATGCTTGTTCTATTTGGGCAACGTATATTTTTCTGAAAGAATATATTCCCATACGATAAAAAAAATGCATATATCTTCTTGGACAAAATAGAAACTACAGGTACTTTTACAACCCCAAACATAAGTTATGTGACTCACTAGGCTAGGGACCAACTAAACACAAAAAGAATTTCCAACTACTTTTCAACATGTAGAAAATCATGCCCTATGGTTGCACAATGATCTTCCAATGGTTGTTTGATCTAGCCATTTATGTACTTGAGCTATTTAAAAAAAGAAACTTGATCCTAAAGCAGACCCCAAACTTATGTTTCCCTTGGGCCCATGCCCAAGGAGCAACTGTAACTTTTGCCATAGCTAGAGCATAGTATACATGCTAATCTTTATTATGTTTGCGCTCAAATCTATTTTAAGCAGTATATACGTGAATTCATTTAATATATTCCAATAATAAAAAAAATTTATATTATTATTATCATTTATTTCAAGAGAATTTATCAAACGGAAAAGCTTTCCATGTTTCCCCTGCAGCATTGAAATTCTATCTTCCCCGTTATCCAACCGTCCATTTTTTAATAAAGGGCTAAGATTGCCCCAATCAGAATATCACGTCTCTACACTATTTTATTTTTAATTTTTTTTCTATAAACTATTTAATACCAAATTTTGAATTTCTATTCCTCTATTAAACTTGCACCAACAAAAAATATAAAAAAAATATTTTTAATAATATAAAATAACCAAAATACCCCTGAAAATTTCAAGGGATATTTTGTTCATTATTTTTTTATCGAAAAATTATTGTTAATATTTTTCATAGGTGAGCCCCAATGAGAAGATGGCACGTACCAAACTTCACATTCAAAAAATTTATATTAACAAAATTAAAAATAAAATACTTTGAGACATCGGATCTAAGTTCAAATGGTGAGTGACTTTTGATAAAAAATAGACGGCTGGATGGTAAAAAAAAGATAGAACTTCTATGCTGTGGGGGGAGCTTTCCCTTATCAAACTACACCTTAGAGATGAAATATTTAATACTTTACCCGTATATTTTAAGAAAGAGTATATCACGCTGCATTCATGATGGGGAGGACTGGTTTGCAATATTCCTGCCCATCGCTACACAGTCCTCCCCAATCTTCTCTATACATCATCTTGTGCATTTTATACAATATACTTGAGAAGGCAAAGCCATAAATAAACTATTACATGCATACATTCTTCAAAATCGATTTGTTGCAATCTCATGAATGCCTCTTCTCCCTATTAATTTATCATATCCTTGATGAAATGGTGTTAAAAGTCGGTGAAATAAATTGTCCAGTTAATCGATAGAACTAAACAGCAGAGATGCATTTGTTCCCCCAAAACCGAATGAATTTGAGAGAGCAGCTCTGATGGGCATCTCTTTTGAAGAAGTAAGAGGCATAAAATTATCATCAAAAACAGGGTCTGGTTTCTTGACATTTAGGTTTGGAGGAGCAATTCCCTGCAAACATGCCCACGCAAATAACAACAAAAGATTAAGAGAATTTATTTGTCAATTCAAGCCACACACTCGCATCTACATGCACAAGTTTGCATACACATGCTTCAATTGTGCACGAAATATGGAGATGGTGTTGAAGTCACCATCTTAAATTTGAAAGTGTTTTGAGGAATTAACTTACATAGTGTATGGCTAAAACTGTAAAGATTGCTTCAACTGCTCCAGCTGCTCCGAGGAGATGACCAGTTGCACCCTACAAGTTGGATAATGATCGAAGCAGAATAATAGACTAGAAACATCACAATGAAAGAAGAAAACTGAGTTCCCCTATGAAGAAAGAGTGATAATGAAACTGAATACCTTTGTCGAAGATACTGACAATGCACCTGATGTTGCCTGATGTGAAAACACGGTTTTGATTGCCTTCGCTTCTATGGCATCGCCTGGATAAAATGAGTTGGTTCAATAGATTCAAGGTTCATATACCTTAAACATTACATCTAAGGATAAATAGTAAGCATTCTCTCTGGTAATTATGGCCTGAATTCTTTTATGGGAACTTTTCCAGCGAAAGAATTTGATACACATGCACTAATTTCCTTGCCTAAGAATCTACAGATGTTGAACACTTACCCATGGGTGTTGATGTAGCATGCGCGTTTATGTAATCTACTTCATCTGGTTGCAGGCCAGACTACAAGAGAGTGCATGAAATGAAAATTAAATTAATATACTGATGCATATACTTCTGTTAGAAGAAATCATATTTCAGAAATCATGCTCTTTGACATATATGGATATGGACACGCTTAATGGAACAAAAACTTCAATAAAAGGTGAAGTAACATAGTATTTCCTGATGGCAACTAAAGGTGAAGTGACTGAATTCATCAAATGCATAAGAAAGTATGCTCACAGGGGCGCACACTATGTGCCTACTCCCTCACTCAAAACACCTATATAGGAGGATTTTTTAGTCTAAAATTTTGGGAACCACATAAGAATTACTAGATGATCATTTTTCGAAGAAAAATATTTAATTTTGAGTTTTGTGACACTTAGATCTAGCCCTTAAAAAATTGGATGGTTTCTATTCAATCTCGAGGCATTAGTTTTTTCTCGTACATAGAAAGTTTATTTCGAAAATGTTTTTTACTGAGATTGTTCTATGGGTTATAGAGATTCATTATCATCATCAAAGCCTTTCCCAGCTATTTGGGGTTGGCTACATGAATTTTGGTCCCTCATTCTGCTCTATCAAGAGTCATACCCTCAGTGTAACTAGAAGTCTCCTGAATGTATTCATTTCGAATTCTATCCCTTCTTGTCTTCCCGCTCATCCATCTCAACATCTTTACCTCAAATACACTCATCCTATAGGTTGCAAATGTAATTCTCCAAAATTTGAGATCTAAGAAGTATCCCTATCATGTGTTTTGCCCAATGGAGTAAATGGATAGTATACCCCTGAGGGAATAAGAAATCTTTTGGAAATAAAAGGTCATTCAATAATTCTATTTCATGGCTAAAGCACATATTAAACCTTAGTATTAGGTTAAAGGAGAAGACATGAACAACACCGAATTGGTTCTGATCTAGAAACATCTTCCATTAAATCAGCTCTACGTAAAGAACCATTCACTATAAAAAGCAACAAACTGCAAAGCCCACATATAGGCTCCTCACAAGAACAATTGTTATTATATGCTGACGGATCACATGGAAATACTACATTTTGCATTTCAAGCTGGATTACAATTCAAGACAAGGTTACGCTGACCAACAAGACCTAGCTTACCAACTTGATAAGTTAAAAGGGCCCTCCCAAGTGAATGCAATTTACCAAGAAACCAAGAAGCTGGGATTCAATGAATTGCTTTAGTTGTAAAAGATTATCCAAATCATTAATTCACTTGTTCAACTCACAGAATACGAGCAAAACGATTTTATTTTATTTTTGGTTGGCTATTGTGGTTTTGCACTTTTTAACAGGGTTCAAAATGGGGTAGGAACAAAGGTGCTGTGGTAGAGTTACTGCACTAGCATGTTGAAAAATAGTACAAGTTCTCTTTAGTGGTCTGTCCAAACTGGACATGATACATTCCGTAAGGGGTTACAGTCCAATGATGAGACCTTAAATATTATTCCCTAAAGTTATGAACCCATATTCAAAATGGACCAGGCCCACTTCTTAAAGGTAGTTTTCTCCACAAAAATCCTGAAACATGTGAACTAAGATAACATTTACAAACTTAAAAGCACAAAGTTCCAGGACAAACCATAATAGCATTGGATATTCTCCATATCGAACCAATACTACCCAAAAGAATACCACGACATTATAAGGGCAGTTTTCAAATTTTCTGTACCAAAATGTAGAGTAGCCTCTCAGCTCATCAGATCCATCAATTACGAAAAAGGGACTAATGCAAAAAAGTGATGAAATTGCAACCAAAGCAAAACATGCTGAAATTCAATAAAATTATACACATGAACATATCTGCAAAAATCAATAAAAAACAGAGACCTATTTGAGATGATCCTTTTACAGATCCTAGACTCCTTCAGAGGACTTGCAGGAAGCTACTGTACTGAATAAAAAACTGTGGATTTGGCGAACCAAATGTTTCACACAACTAAGAAGAAACTTGTGTACAATAAAAGATCCATGAATAATGGTCTCACTCTTCAGTACATAAAGCATTGCGCTTATTTTCCTCCACGGCAATGAGTTAAGCAACTTCAAATAACTGAGACTTCCACCTGATAATATATTTCTTCAATTGAATTCTACACATTGCTGGAGAGATAGGCAAGAGAATGATGGCTCAAGTGTGGAACCATAAGAAAAATAACCAACACTTGTATATTGTTAATTTGTGTCTTTTGCATCCTGATTGTGATCAGGCATTCCAAGCTACAATAAGACATATAAAACCAATTATTGTTTTATCTGGAATAATGTGATTGCACAAGACCTAAAGATAGTGTTCACAAATAGAAGAATAAAAGGCGTGACACTATGTATTAATTATTACTTTTAGTGTTTGTTTCTTTCTGTCAGAGAATATAGAGAAGAGAAAAAGCAAGTGAAGAAGAAGAGAGAAGCGAGAAGAAAGAAATATGAGAACATGAGGAAAGAGAAAGACGCGAGGTTCAACCCCACCTTCACGAACTTCTCAGCCTTATATTTTATTAAAATTTATGATATGGAAAAAACTGCCCATACAAATATAATTACGACAAAAGTTCAAAAATTAGATAACAAAAGATTTTAACACTCCCCCTCAAGATGGAGCATAATTATCGCCCATGCCCAGCTTTGAACAAATAGGAATATGACCAAAGCCTTTGGTGAAAATGTTTGCCACCTGATCCCTAGATTTCACATATAGAGTAGACAACTGCTTACTAGCAACTTTCTCTTGGATACAATGCCAGCCTACTTCAATATGCTTGGCCCTTTTATGGAGCTGGATTACTGGCTATATAGGTGGCAGCTTTGTTATCACAATACATCTTCATAGGTTCAGCAACAGTAAAGCCCATCTAGCATCAGTGTTTACAACCACATCAATTCACATGTGGTGTGCGGCATTGCTCTCTATATTCAGCCTCGGCACTAGATCTAGCCACAACATTTTGTTTATTAGTTTTCCATGTTACCAAGTTTCCACCAATGAATGTACAATAAACTTTGGTAGACCGCTTATCAGATGGTGATCCTACCCACTCAGCATCTGAGTAACCTTCAATAGCCAAATGGTTATTTGGCTTGCAAATTAGACTTGACCTAGGGCTTTACATACAGCATCCCAATGAGGAGTCCTCAGAGCATGCATAAACCGACTCACAACACCTACTGCAAAAGTAATATCAGGCCTGGTGATGGTCAAATAAATCAGTCTGCCAACGAGTCTTCTGTACCTTCTTGGATCCTCAAACAAGTCTCTCTAATCAGCCCATAATTTCATATTTGAATCCACAGGAGTATCCACTGGTCTAGCACCCAACATTCCAGGTTCTTTCAGCATATCAGCCACATATTCTTAGAGACAAACTAATGCCATACTTTGGTTTAGGTACTTCAGACAATACCTTAGTTGGCCCAAATCTTTAGTCTAAACATATTGTTTTAGATGTCTCTTCAAATGACTAATTCCTTCTTGATCCTTGCCAGTAACAACAATATCATTAACATAGAAAACTAAAACAATTATTCTGAAGTCTTATTTCCAAATAAACACTAGCGCCGAAATTTATATGCTATAACAATTTCATTGTAACTTTCTAAACCATGCCCGTGGAGACTGTTTCAAGCCATAAATGACTTTCTTCTACTTACATAGTTTATCTGACTCGTCAAAGCAACAAACCCAGGTGGTAGCTCCATGTACACCTCTTGTAAATCACCATGGAGAACTGATATCAAGTTGCCACAACGGCCATCCCTTGTTGGTGGCCACAAATATAACCACTCAAACTGAATTAAGTTTAGCAAGAGGAGCAAATGTTTCAGAGTAGTCAATACCAAATGTTTGTGTGTATCCCTTGGCTACCAATCTGCCCTTTAATCTTTCTACAGTGCCATCAGGTTGATATTTTACTGCATAAACCCATCGACACCCAACAGTTCTTTTCCAACAGGTAACTCGATGAGTTCCCATGTATCATTCGAATGAAGAGCATCCAACTGCTCTTCCATTGCTCTCTTCCACCCAATATGAGAAAGTGGTTCCTAGTAGGTCTTAGAAACTGAAATAGATGAAAGCGCTAAAGCAAAATTTTAATATGATGGCGACAAAATTGTAAAGGTAACAAAATGTGCAATTGGGTATTGAGTACAAGACCTAATAACTTTATGGATGGCAATAGGTACATTATCATCACAAGAGGGAAGTGGATCAGCAGACGAAGATGATTTGAGTTGGTAGGGGATGTCCTATCTGCATTTTTCTTTTGGAGTAAACCTTTATGGGATGCTCTTAAAAAACATCACGATGTATAGGTGCACCAGATTTAGTGTTGTCAGGCAAGTGGGGTGAAGAGTAAGTGTGAACATAAATAAGAACATGAATCATAGAAGGCGGGGACTCTGAGACTTCTTCAGAAATAGGATAAAAATTATATGTATCAATCACAAACTCTCCTCTGAAAAATATGTAGAGTGATAAAAAATTTCTTTTGTAAACCAGGATGATAACAAGATAACCTTTCTGGAAGCGTGAATACCCGAGAAAGATACCCTTGACAGCCCGAGGATCTAGCTTATCATTACCAGTACCTATGAACAAAGTATGAACACTCAAAAACCCGAGGAGGAACAACAAACAGTGGAGCATCAAGAAAGAGAACCGAGTGAGAAGCTTTTTTATTTAAGATTGAAGAAAACATACTATTAATTAAATAGCATGCGGTTAGTAAGGCATCTCCCCAATAAACCTTTGGAACACGCATATTAATAAGCAGAGAATGGGTTACTTCAAGTAAGTGTTGATTTTTTCTTTCAGCAACCCCATTTTGTTGAGTATGCGCACAAGAAGTTTGGTGCAAAATTCCATGTTCAGCAAAATAATTCTGAAATTCTATAGAATGATACTCTTTAGAATTATCAGACTGCAAAAGACACATTCTTATTGAATTGTGTCTGAATCTCCTTGTGAAACAATTTAAAAATGGAGAAAATCTCATATT